TGAAATAAACTACTGGGTTTTTAATGCTGTGAGTCATCTGTACTTAGTTCCAGACATCTCAGGAGAAGGCTTTTCCAAGAAGAGCCCCGTGGATGCTCCTCCCTGTTGGAAGCGCTGCCAGCTGGAGGGGAGGGGGGGGGGGGGGGGGGGGGGGGTGGAGAGAGAGAGAGAGAGGCCGTCAGGTTGAGCAGCAGCAGTTTGCCTCTAGGTTGTTCCCAGAAAGTCGGCTGCTGGATGCTGCCCTCCCAAGTCTTCTCACAGAATTGAAAACCAAAAGCGATGCTAAACTTCTCGAAGTCGTCTTCCAGGCACTTCTGCAAAGCACAGAAGGGGTGTGTGCACGCTGGGCAGACAGAATCCAAAGTTGCCCCAACGGGGAATGGGAGTGGAAACCAGACTGTTGGTGCCCTCTCTTTTTCCCGAAGGGGCTGGGTTTGACCTGTGGAAAAAATGATCATTCTTTTAACAAGAGGCTTTGGCCAAAGTACGGATGAGTTTGGGGTTTTGTTTTTGCAGCACCCTTAAAGCTGTGAGCCCACAGCAATGGGCTGGCTGTGCTCCTCAAGCCGGGGGGGCAAATTGTGCAAAGAACGAATCGTAGCAGCCAGGGGTAATGAAATCAGGGCAAGAGCAGGGGGCTCCAACTGCTCTGCCCCTCTCCCACCCTATTGCATTTCAAGGGTAGGAGCCCGGTACAAGCATGGTGGAAGCTGTTGTGCAACTTAGCTGAGAACCACAGCGTTGCCTTACTCAAAGGCAGGATGGTAAAAAGCTGCCTCTTGGACCCAACTCAGCTGCCAAAAGGTGGAGAACTCAAATGGAGTACTTGGAACACGGAGTTACCGACATCCTTACCCTGAGTTAGTGCTGTGCCTGTACTTGCAGGGCATATAATTGTGACAGTAGTAATTAGTTCCCTGGCACGCACTAGAGCCTGCTTCAAGTCACCATCCAAAAGATGATGGACTCTGTGAAGTGATACCTGAACACAGTTGAAAGGCCAGAGAATTTTGCACACTGCCTGTTAACATAAGCATATACATACTGCACATCATTTCAACCATGGGTTTATCATAAAAATACAGTGTAACTGCTCTGCACAAGCACTGTTGTTTGTGCTGGGATAAACAGAAGTGAAGAAGCAAAAAACAAGAGCACACACTTGTTTTTGCTATAGAGTAGCTTTGCCATACAGGCAATGGTGTGCCTGGCAGGATGTGCGCCGCTGTAGCCCACCACTGCTTCTACTATGTAATGTTATGGAAATGGGGGAAAAAAAAAAACAAAAACACAACACAAACACCACACACACACAAAAAATAATACAACACAAAAAAAAAACACCACAAAAAAACCCCCACAAACCCAGAAACAAAAAACACAACACCAACAAGCACCCAGCAGGACTGGGCTGAGATCTGACGCAGCAGCACAGCACCACAACCCTGACGAAGCCACGGAGCTGGTTTCTCCCCAGGCCACGCGGTGCTGTCTTGCCTAGACCAGCGCTGACCTGAGTCCTGGCGCAGAGCTCTTTGGCTCCCAGGACAGAGGGTGCTGGTGACAGATCTTGTCCCCTGTGAGAGTTGCAGCCCTGGAGCGCCAGGCCAGCAGTGCCTGTGTGCTGACCTGGGAGGGGGAAGCAGGAGTGAGTTTGTTACTGGACTGCAGAAGAAGGGGCATAGTAAAGGAAGCAAAATATTTGCTTTAGATGTGGTAATCCAGGTGGTCTTGCCAGAAGGATTCATTTCCTCTGTAGGCATTCTCTAGTGACTGAGCAGCAGGGTTCTCTTTGTTATTACAAGAGAGGTTTATCCCAACCACTTCCCAATTCCATCCCCTCCCACCAAATAATCCCCTCTCCAGCCACATCTGAAAACCTTAGGTTTAAGAGGCAGAAGCTGCAAGACATGGAAAAACCTGGAAGGAGGGAGATGAAAAAGGGGGCCTGCTTCTGCCACAAATCTTCTGCTTAGAGCACACTTCCCAGTGAAGGGAATAAGATGCTGAAAGAGACCTTTTAACTTTAAATAGGTGTCTTGAGAATTCAGCTTCTTGGCTGTAGGTCCTTGCTCAAAGCTTTGTCCTCTGATCCCATCAAAGGCTAAAAAAAAAAAAAAGTAAAAAATAGCCACAGTCACACAGATCAGAGTCCCATAGATGTAAACTTTACTGATAGAAAAGGGCTCTTAAAAGCAGAACCCTCTTTTCCCCACAAATCTCGGTTTGCACACAAAGCAGCTCTTGCCCCAGGGTAAAAGGCTCAAACTGGGAGCAAGACACAGCTCCCATTGCCATGGGTATTTACAAAGGGGCTTGTCACATCAGCTGCACCCCTCCCCTCGCTGCAGAACAAGATGCAACACAGTAGGCAAGCTTTTAAACAATGCATTTCTATTAGTGGTTTTATATAAGACTGGGTGAAAAAGCAGTAAATACAACCTGCAATGTTGCTGTGTTGCCTAGGAGCAACAGTCCAGTAGCAAACAGCCACCCTGCAGCCACTCTCTACTTCCAGTCTCAACAAGCAGCTGATTCCTGGGTTCTCTGCTGCCAGGTCAGATCCCTAGGCTGCCCTTCACGACCCTTTAAGCATTCTCCTGGCTGCCCACTGCAGCCTATTCATTGCAGTCGGTGGCAGTGGCTCTAGGTCTGCCAGTCACCAGCACAGGAGTTGAGAAGAGTTGCCTCAAGGCAGAGATCAGGAGCAAACACCTGAGGGCTGCACAGAAAAGGGCTTAGTTCGTATTTGGTGCCTAGCCCAAAAAGCATCAAAATTGCTGCCCTGTAAGGATGGAGCTGCAGAGGCCCAGTGCAAGCTCAGAAAGCTGACAAAGCAGGCAGTGGGTGAACCACCTTTGATGATGGGCCAGCAGGAACAATGGATGGGCCTCCCCAGGCTCCAAGCAAACACCACAAGGTAAGTCACAGAGGGCAGGCAGAGCTTCCCTGCACTTAGAGCTGCCAGGGCCCACGACCAACATCTGGCTGTTTGGTTGAGTGCTGGTGCTCATGCTCAGGGGTACATCCTAAGTCCCTGGTGCCCCACTGCCCTTCACTCAGCACAGCTGGCAGAGGGCAAGGAGGGGAGAGGGACTGGCATTGCAAAAACATTACATGGAGGTGGTCTGTGCGCGCAGAGCTGGGGGCAAGGACAAGCCACACAAGGGGAAGGGCTCACACAGGGGCTCCCTGCGGTCCCAGCTGTGAGCAAGCAAGACACCTTCACACACACACTTGAGCTCACTCAGGACAAGAGGTAAAGGAGGGGGTGCTGTGTTTAAAACACCATGACTAGGAAAGCCTCCCTGCCTCTGCTAGAAAGCCCCCGTGCAGCACTGCCCTCATTTTTGGCTCACAAGAGGCACCAAGTGAACATCACACACCTACTCCCCTCTAGCACAGGCCCAGCTGCAACTGGCACATGCACCAACACACACCCTTGCAGTGTGGCTGTGTGTGCCCAGGTACCACAGCTGAGTAATCCTGCCCGCTGAAGAGTAGTATCAGTCCCTGCAGGGATTTTTTTTTTTTTATCCTCATCAAAATCTTTGCTGTAACTTCTGGTCTGCCCTTGGCAGAAATCATCCCTACTATGACAACCACATATTTAGGTTAGAACCTCACCCACGCTGCAGTCATTCATTCCCTTCCCCAGCACACAAGCTAAACTCCCAGGATTTGATCAAAACCTCATGAGCTCATTCTTCACCTTCGTACCACAGGGCAGTGCTGTGCACAGTTTATCGTGCACCATCAAGGCCATGAGGAAAGAGCTGGTTTTATTTTACCTAATTACACAAGTAACATCTAGCACAGAACAGCCCACTGTCTCGACTCCTCAGTGTCAACTCGGGTAACTCTGAGCAACACGTGCCAGCCCCCCCAGCCATCTCACCGTTTTCCTTCCCCACTGCTCCCCTGTGGCCTGAGGCAGGGGGTGACAGGCGTGTTTCCGAAAGCATCTGCCTGCTTTCAGAAGTCACCAGGCCCATCCCTTCACTATCATCCACAGCCCAGCCTGTGCACACCACTTCAGTGAGACAAAAGAAATCCCGCAAACCGAAAACCATGCCCTGTAGACAACCGGAGAGAGATCCCAGCTTTGACTCTCTTTGCTGGTGCCATTCCTGGATGAGAAGCAAGGCACTGCTCAGACAAAAGGCAGACATCACGCCAGAGGAAGGGCCACTTAAATAGCTCAGAACAGCAGAACATGCATTGGGCTGCACTGAGGTGGCCAATGTCAGCCCAAAGTGCCCAGCAGGCATGACAGGGGAAGGCAGGTAAGGCACAGGGATGTGGACATCCAGGTCGATTTATTACATAGAGCAATAAAAATTTCCATTTAAAAAAGAAATAAAAACCATTCAGGAATATTGATGCTGGTTTTACAGGATCGGCCTCATGGTGACGAAATGAAAGTTGTACAATTCTGGCAGGCCCTGGTGTCGTGTGTGGTTAAACCGTCTCCAGGTGAAGACAGGGAGACCGCCCTGCACTGGGGGGCCATTGATTGCGGTGGCTGTGAAGGCTGAAGCCAGGCGGAAATCTGAAACCTGCAACAAAGGACAGGAGCTCAGGGCAAAAGGCTTTGCTTGGTGTTCGACATGCACCCTTCCCACAGAGCAGGAACAGCTCCAGGAGATTTGACAACAATCAAGAAAGCCAACAAGGGGAGATTCAGAACAGCCAGCACTGAAGGGCAGTAGCAGAGCACAAGCCCACGCTGCCCTCTAGCCCTTGCTCTGTCCAGGTTGAAGCAAGACAGCATAAACCCCCTCAGGACAATCCTGCCTGAGTTTTCACATCTCCAAAAGAGCTGGAGCTGCAGCAAGCGGTCCAGAGGGTCTGACCTAAGCTCTGATGTGTTCTGAGCACCTGGTTTGTCCCCTGGGGCACTGCGAAGGTCATTCAGGAAAAGACAAAGGCAGCACAGAGTTAACATTGCTGCCTGTGCTCTGCCTTGTTCCTTCATCATCTCCCAAGAGGTCCCCAGCCTGCTCCATCTTCCCAAACTTAGAGACACTAAAACTACCTTTAGTGTTTTCAGCTGCCAGGTTTTGCCTCTGCTCTGGGCTATTTCTCTCAATGGCCCTCTCAGATGCCCTGTCCTCCACCCACCCAGCCCATTCTCCCTGCCTAACTGTGCTGGCAAAGGCCCCCCAAGCAGTGTGCACTGACCCACTCCCTTACCACACACTTCTACACAGCAATTTTCTGCATCCATCTCTTCATATCCAGCTCTGGGAGCTCCTACTAGAGACTCCAACAGGCAGCTGGCCTGGGCCTGTGCAAGCTGACTGGTGTCAGGGACAGGAGACAGGACTCCAAACAGAACTACCATTGCAGGATCTGCCCAGGCACTGGGACAGCATGAAAAGAGGCAACAGACAGACCTGGCCATGCTTGCCCCAGTGCAGGGAAACACACTCTCACAGGAGCACAAACAGGCTGCAGCAAACAGTCAGCAGATACTGAAACTGAGAGAATTTACCTTGGAGTCATAGCAGCCTGCAGGCACTGGAAAAGAAGGATTCAGGTCTTCCCGGCAGCAAATGGTGTTGCACGGATTGTGTTCAGCATAAGGATCACGCTGGTAGTCTGGGGAGAAATGTGACAGGGAGGGAAGGAGGAAAACAAGTCAGTCCCCTCACAAAAAGCTGATGCCAAGTGCCTGAGCCAATAAAAGCCGGGTAAGCGCACCCACAGAAATACAGGTCTATCACATCACTCTCATGCTCCTTCCCCAGGTACTCAGCCAGAAGTCACAGGGCGTTAAGCTCCTAATCCAATTCCATACAGCTATTTCTGCATCCCAAGGGCACCACCGCCAACCTCTAACCACAAACATCTGCAACTCCGCATGAGGAAAGCTTGTAGGAACCTTGTCAGGTGACAAAAGCCGAAGAGGAGGGGAGGGGAGAAGTGCAGCACTGAGAGCCTTTGTTTTCCTGTTCTTTGTTTTCCTGTTCCTGGGACAAAATTAAGCAGCAAGGAGCAAAGCCTTTGAACACCCATTGTAGTAGCTGCAAGCCAGGAGGGGAAGATGGACAAGCCTCAACATCTATGAGCGTGCTGCTACTCACAGCCCAAACAAGTAGCGATACTCCACCCTGGGAGAGGCCTCTCAAACCCCAAGCCCAGTAATCAGTGTGTTCCCTATAATTGGGAATAAAAATATAGCATCTAAAGCTATCTGTGCATGGAGACGGGCTTAGCTAGAAGTTAATTAGGCTGGTTTTAATCCAGTTAAGGAGAAGCCTGTCAAGGAAAAGCAGGGCAGAGCTTTACCCACGAAAGATCATTTCCCTGAACAGGGGAAAACAGATCTGGAATTTTGCACTAAATTCTCTGGTCTAATCTTGCCTAACTGTTGCTTAGGATTTAAGGCTTTCAAGATTGACAGGCTGTAGATATATTAGGCAAGAGCAGTCCACAGAGTCTCTTGGAGCATCAGATGCTCTCTGTAAAGGTCAATGAGCAAACCCAAGGGTCCTTGTTCTAGAAGGAACCCAGTCTTGTTTCTGTTGGAGTAATTTTAGCCTAGTTTCCTACCTCAACAGTAAGCTTATTATATTTTTGCTTTGTGTATACTCTGCACCTAGGGTAACATAGCTCTGATCTGTATGTGAAGCTGCAACTTCCCACTATAATCCAAAAAATAAAATCCCCTTCCCACTATAATCCAAAAAATAACACTGTTTTACTAAGATCAGCTCCAAATCAATACATGTCTTACTGTTGTATCTCATGATGTACTTCATGCCTTCCAAGCTGGTCACCTTGCCCTGGTCTCGACGGAAGATTTTTGCTCTTGGAGCAAGCTCGTAAGAGAAATCCATGCCATACTTCTCAACATATGCTGCATATCCACTGAGATTGTAAATCTTTTCATGGAAAGGGATATTGTATGAAGGCCAGTAACCTGCCAGAGACAAAATTCAATCTGTTAAATCATTCAGAAAAGATGAACGCTCTTGCTTACATCAAAAAAGAAAAATAAACCTTTTTCCACGCTGCCTTGCCTTGAGAGCATGTCGAGGAATAACATGTCAAACCGGTTTGAAGACAAGAAATTAAGGCAGTAGTCACTGGCATGACCAGGGTTGATTCCCAGTATAGCACCACTGGAGACTGTACCCAGGCAACCTGCCCCTAGACTTCCAGCCTGAGGACTCATCCTACAAAACGGCTGAGATCAGCCTTGCAGGAGCTTGAGGTGAACAGACAAGAGCAGCCACAGTCCTATTGCAGAGGTTTCCCTGCATAACCTCAGGAGTGTTAAGATCATTCATCAAAATTCCCAGCATGAGGCTTGAAGTCACTCCCTTTCTTCCCCTCCAGCTTCCCATCTCACCAAGGCAGAGCAATTCACCGTGCTGTGACATCAGGGAGGGATGGGTACACACACACAGACCACGGAGCCTAGAGGGGTGAAGAGGAGACAGGCCAGTGTACACACGCACGCAGACACGCGCACAGACACACACTTGTGCAGTGGTGGCTGGAGAACTGTGATAACAGCTATCTTGCAGTGATAAGGAAAGATGAGGGGATAGGTGCATGTTTGCCAGTATCTACCTTTGAGGGTTAAGAGATGATTGATCAGCAGAGCAGAGCCCTGTCCTAACTTTTCGAAGAGCAAGCATGAATCCTGCTGGTTTATAACTTTAAAGAGCAGGGTTACCACCCAGCAATCTAGAGAGAATTTTAGGTAGGTGACTACAACTGCCTGAAACAAGACTAGTCTAGAAAGGTGAAAGGCTTGTAAAGAGCCAGGAGACCATCCAGTTCAGCACCTGGGTACAGCAAGTCCTGGATGAAACAGAAATACATGACAGGGCTGGGGCAAAGGCTGGACTTGATCTTCAAGGTCTCGTCCAGCTGAAACTGTTCTATGATTCTATGATTTACACCTTAACATTGGGTAATTTGTCAATTTTTTTTTTTTTTGCAAGGCAGGCACCAAGGAATGCTTAGACAGAGAATATATAACATGAGCTAGTCCTAAGAGCAGCACACTTTCAGGTTCTCTCCAAAGCACGAGCAATCCTGGAGGGGACATTGCTCTTCACATCACACACACCAGGATTTGGTTTGGAGATTTACTATCTAGATACTGGTAAACACAGCACTCCAGGTATTAACATCAACCCAGCAAAACGTGAGGAGTCTGGCTCTAAGATGCTTAAGAATATGAACTGGGAATCACTAGGAGCAACAGAGTGAGACACAAACTGAACTCCCTGAAGGACAGATACGCAGACATCATCAGCACCGGAACGCTGCCTGAGTGGAGGAGACCTGACCATCTCAGGTCCTGCCTAGCACGGGGCAGATGGGAATACCCTGTCTGCTGGCATTTGCTTACATGACCTAGAGCCTACGTGAAGGAAACAGGCTGTGTGTACCTGCTGTGTTGTAATACAGGCACCCTCCAGAAACGAGCTCACTTGCCAGCCTCTAATGACACAGGCTGGAGGATACAGACCCATCAGCTTCCAAACCAGTAAGACATAGCTGGGATTCCAAAAGGTGCTCTTGGCACACGAACGCAGTGCACACAGATGACCCTCTTCTCCTACCTGGAAAAACTTCTTGCTTAAACTGCTAAAACAGAGGAAGCTATTGAAGTTCTCCACCAGCAAGAGCACTTCATGTCTCAGGCTCTGCAAGACTGCAAATCCCACGCAGACAGTGCAGCACCCAACCTAGGGCAGGCTTTACCCAAGAGCTGCTGCCAGAGAAACCTGCTTGTTAGGTCTGGCAGGGTCAACAGTGGCAAAACCAAGTCAGAGACACAGTGTAAGATTGAAGGGGAGATGAGAAGGACAACATGAAGGCACCAAAACTCACTGAAATAAAATGCTTTCCTCTTCTGCCTATCAGATCTCAGCAACAGAGAGGTAGAGCAATAAGAGTATTACGTGTATGGTGGAAGAGACTGAGATCTCAGGTTCTGATGTCTTGCTTTTGATGTTGAAATCAACATACTACTCATTCATCAAGAAACATGAACTGCAGCCTGATCCTGTGCCCTATCCCCCTACTGCCCTCTCCCACATATTCTAAAGGATTCCTGAGTTTTCTCTGTCAACATACAGAAAGCACCTTGACATTTTTGCCTGGGAAGGGCAATGTAAGAAATGCCTGGCTTTAAAAACTCACCTGAATTGGCTTCGAGAGCAAGTTGACAGAAGCCATAAAAAAAATCACCTTCCCATTTTCAATTTCACAGAAGAAAATGCTTCCTTTTCCCTTAGCCACAAGGCTTCCTACACCAATATCTGTTTTTGTTCACCTGAGAACTCAATTCTCATTCTCTGTTTTTTCTAGGTTTCTACCTGAAGGAGGCTTAAAAAGCCAATGCCAGTACAAACTCACTCTAATCAGGCTGGAGTGTTAGAAGTGTGTTGTCTTTGGGTATCAGCTACAGGGCAATTGCAGAGTGTGCCAGCTACTCTACAAACACTTGAAGCCAGCACTGCTCTTGAGAAAGACAAACTTCCCACACCTGGGCTGCTCTGAGCTCCAGGGAACAGGGCAGTGCCTTCAATGGGACTTCTCTGGTGTCTGGTGAGGCATGAGAGTCCAAATCTGCTGCTGAGAGGAGCAGCACTGGCTTACAGCAGCTGAGGCCTCTAAGGCAGCACTCTGTGGTTCTCAGCCCACCCTGTGTGCCAAGGGCTGCCCTCCCACTGTTTAAACTCCCAGAGACTGACAGTTGCATTATCCAATATTCACAAGGTGCATTAAGATACCTGGGAAAAGCCACACTGAAAATGTAAAATAAAATGTATCTTTTAACACGTGCCACCACCTTTGAGAACCGAGCAGCCACAAGATCCCCTAAGAGGGAACAAGCGGACACTGCGTGCCAAGTCCAGCGGTCGGGCTCACTCCTACAGGGAATCCCACACAGCAGCTCTCAAGTGACCTCAAGAAAGTTCCCTAAAAGGAATCCTTAAGGAACCCTCTAAGCCTGGGCTGTCTGCAGAGGCACAGTACTGCCCTGCCATGGCTGCACTGCCCAAGTGCCAAAGCTAGAGGCTCTCCATTAGCTTGTTTGTTTGTCCACGTCACGACTCACAGCACAGAGAAGCCGAAGGGATTTCACCACCATCTGAACTACACACAAACACTGGAACGTAAGGTACAACAGCCAACTTTCACATCTTCAACAGATAAAGCAGCCACAGAAGCATAAGGGGGAGACATGGCATTTTTCCAGATTGTCAGTAAGAAACATCTCAAAACTATACTGACATTGTGGCAATGCCTAAAGTAAGTCAAAAAACCCTCCAAGGACCAGATACAAGGAAAAGTTCCAAAGGGAAACAACCTCAGCTGCTAACAGAAATGCATTTCCAGTCGTTTTGATGATTAAGAACAATTTATCAATTCATCTCCTCAGCATGTGATTAAAGAGGGAACACTGGCACACACTTTACACTTGAATTTGTGGAATGAGCTTAGGCTTCCGGATGCTGACATAAAATGTCTAGAAAACACTTCATCGATTCATCTCCTCAGCATGTGATTAGAAAAAGGAACACTGGCACACACTTTACGCTTGAATTTGTGGAATGAGCTTAGGCTTCTGGATGCTGACATAAAATGTCTAGAAAACACTTGTGAACGAAACCTGGCAGTAGGTTTTCTGCTCCATAGATTTCTGTTTGGTGGTTTTCCATCAAGATGTTACGAGCCTTGCAAGTGGAATAAGGAATCTTTTAAATAGCAAGTATTTATCAGATAACAGAGCTCCAATAAAGTTCAGGAACTGAATCTAACACAGAACTTCTCTCACATTTGAAAGTTCATCTCCTTGTAGGGCAACGCACTTGCCAAATACTTCAGGTATCCCACAGCATCACAATTATTTACTACGGTTTCAAATAGACTCTTTTAAACAGCAAGTATTTATCAGATAACAGAGCTCCAGTAAAGTTCAGGAACTGAATCTAACACAGCACTTCTCTCACATTTGAAAGCTCGTCTCCTTGTAGGGCAATGCACTTGCCAAATATTTCAGGTATCCCACAGTATCACAATTATTTACTACGGTTTCAAATAGACCTCAAGTTTTTCCTCAAGAGTCTTTAAGACAGGACAGCAAGTATTTATCAGATAACAGAGCTCCAGTAAAGTTCAGGAACTGAATCTAACACAGCACTTCTCTCACATTTGAAAGCTCGTCTCCTTGTAGGGCAATGCACTTGCCAAATATTTCAGGTATCCCACAGTATCACAATTATTTACTACGGTTTCAAATAGACCTCAAGTTTTTCCTCAAGAGTCTTTAAGACAGGACAAAAGAATACCAGGAAAAAAGCAAGACAAAAGAAAGAAGCTAAAGTCTATTTTTCCACACGCCTTTCTAAGAAACACAGATTCTCACAACATTTCTGCCACAGAATTCAGGAGAAACGAATGAAACAAAACAGACCTAGAAGCAGAGGGATGCTCACACAAAGCTTTCTAGATTGAAACCCAGCACCAGTGTTCAATAAACCCTTCCCAGGTACAAAGCACAATCCTCCAGCAGCTGGCACAAAGCAATGGATTTCCTAAGCCAGTAAGTTCCTAGAGGAGCTATTACCTTTCCGGAGAACATTTGTTTGATCAGAATACTCCACAAGGGTTGGGATCTGCTCAACAATGTACAATGCACCTTCATCAAGGCTCTTCTGCAGCTTGACCTTCTTCAGGTCCAGCACCATGTACTGATTGTTGTAGGTCCCTGGGTAGGAGAAAAAAAAGAGTTACATGTCCTGCCTAGGGAAGGAAAGGGTACAAGAGGGAGAGAGAACACAGCTTTTTTCCCTAAGATTCATATGAAAGTGTATTTACCAGAGTTACACTTCGAGAAGGTTTCTGCCCAAGCTTTGCCACCGTTTGCCATCATGTTAGCAATGCGGACCCTCTGCCAAGCCAACAGGGATTCAGGCACCACTTGCTTAATGAGGCTTTGGTTGAACACACTGTTGGTAGTCTGCAGCATCACCAAGCCGCTGCCAAGGATGTAGAAGTCGTCCAGGGACACCAAAAAACCTTAAACAGCAATAATGCAAAATTTGTTACCTTTGTGGACCTTTGATGTACTCAAGGAACAAAACAAAGAGACAAGTCAAAAGGGTATGAATGAGTCAACATGCCTGAGTTCCAGATCAAGGTGTACTAATATTAAAGATGAGGTGGTGACTTTTGCAAGTACTTTAAGACCACCTGTCCGCACAGTTTCTCATTTGTCGTGCTTTCAACATACAACCTAGTTCTTTGTATAGAGCATTTGCTTCATGTTTGCATCGCAAGCCTGGAAGTTTCTCCTTCGTGTCAAGCTTATGCTGAGGATGACAAACTGTAAATGCCTAGTGAGTGTTTCTAACAAATAAATTTCTTCTAAAATAAAACGAAGAAAAGCATAAGTGCAAACTCCACAAAGAGATTTTCGTCAGCTAGTTTTAGTTTTAGATTTTTATTCTGTAAGGACAACAGGTATTCCTTTAAATTGATTCCTTCTGGACTAAATCAAGCAAAGCAGAAAAATCTTCCTTCTAGTTAAATCTTTTTCCAGTCCAACTATTCCTAAAAGTATCTCCAAGAAATGGGCACCTCTTAAACCATAAAGCACATCATGTATAGGAGAGAAAGTCCTATCTGTTCCTCTTTCCAGCACGTTGTCATTGTTTTTACACCTAGCAAACTCAACGCACAGATGGATCTCTGGGCAGGATCCCCTTCCAGGTTCCATGCCAGCAGAAGTTCTAGGTCCAACTGCAAATCCCACGCCAGGAGGTGGCACACAGAGCTGCAAAGGTCAGCTGTAATGCCATGGATAGCACAGTGACTACTTAACAAAGTAGAAATAACTTGACTTTGAGATTCCCCAGCAGACTGCCAGGTTGGGGAAGAAAAGTAATTAACCATGCTCCTGATGGGAAAGTCATCCAGAGTCTGGTCTCTTGCTAGTCAGTTTTTAATGGTATCGTTCTTCAAAGAGTACAAAAAGCGAAAATGCTGCGGAACAGCATCATAGTTGGGTTCCACTATGAAATCTTCCACAGCAAGCTTTAATAATGCACTCTGCAAACCAAACAAGGTCAACAACCTATGGCAGCCAGAAAGACAGCTTAGCTCCTATTCCTGGGCTTTCACAAAAAGGTAGATGTCATTCAAGCAAAAGTAATGTTTAAGGGCTCTGTTTCAGCAAGATTTCTTTCAAGTCTCAAGTTCTTAAATCAGAACAGATCCAGGAAAACATACTTTGTGGTCTTCTGTTCTCTAAAAATACGTCAGTATAGAACAGGCAGAGCAACCTGGCAGCTTGTGGTTCTCAGTATTTTATTCTTGGAGAGAGAAAGTGTCAATAAATTACATACATCAACAGCAGAGCTCTTTCTCAAGTAAGTGAGGACAAGAAGAAAACCTCTCAAAATCTGGCTCTGCCAGTCTATTTTATAACAAAGACATTGGATATTCCTGTGCTAAATTGTTGTGTAACAAGTCAAGTGCTTACACAAACAGAGACAAGAAATGAAATTGTTAAAGAACAGTTCCCATGTGGGTACCACTGCCAAGTGCCCTACCTCAAAATAAACCAAATAGTTTTTTTCTTCTTTTTCAGGCAAGCTGGGATAAAACAGAAATTCAATTCAAAACAAGTGTCAACATAAGGAATTATGCTGAATTAACTGAAGTTTGAGCTCAGTAATTCAAATAATTAGCAAAAATTCAGCTAAGCTGAAACCTAGGGAATTTTCTCCCAGGCCTTAGTATTTAGCAGGTTTTATCCTGAGATGTTTCATAAGAAGTGTGCCCTCCATGATATACTATTACTAGCCTAAGTACTCCAAGATGCTGTTTTGACTTGAGGCATAGGCACCCCTGAAACAAAGTGAAGTTAACTCACAAAGAGGTTTATCCAGGACAAAGATATCCACAAAAATAAAACCAAGGTGAACTTTAGAGAAATCAGTAGATATTTCATGTTCTCTTATGTCATTTATGTCTTTTTAAATACGTATGAAATTCATAATTGAAAATGCCTTTTATGTCAACTATTATCTCACTGTATGGCTCGCCTATTTCTTTCTGTAAACCCATCTTCCATCTTTATCAGCAACTCTCAATACAGTTTTTTTTTGGTTGGTTGGTTTGGTTTTCCTCACTCCACTGAACGTGACTTCCTACACAGAAACAAGCAAAAGCCCTTCTGATTGCATCTTCTGGGGCTGAGCCATTTAGATTCAGTTTCCAATCACCACTGGAAAACTGAAGTGTCCAGAGTCCAGAGCTCCGTTCACCACGACAATAGTAATCAGCCAAGCAAAGCAAGGTATTTTCTCAAATCTGAGCCAAAGTGTCCTCTAGAGAGCGAACACATCACAGAGTATGTGGGAGGATAACCTGTTCCTGGCAGCTATTGTTCATAAAGAGGTAGGCTGCTGCTTTCTGAATCAGATGTCAACAGGGTTTTTTGGTGTTTTAAAAGGCTGTTGTCCTCAGTCAACTGCAGAAAGGGTCGGTATTACAGGCTGGAAGTCAGAGACACGAGGCCTAGCTGTCACCTCACAGGGATGAGAGTAGCTCCCGGCTGAGATACTTGATGCTCTGGGCTATAAACACACTTGACAATGGGAAAGGAGAGGTCTTCTCCGGATTAGCTTCCTTAATCCCATCAGCAGCTGCTTCTCATGCCAAGCCTGAACTCCCGCCAGATGCCTGCCTTCCACTTGCAGACTGCTCCTAGGCACTAGGAAATAGCACTGTAGCTCTGGTCTCTCATCTCCAAAGCACACTAGACACTTTACTCTGCTTCCTCCATCGAGGTTTTAGACAGATGTTAGAAGGAGCAGAGAAGCAAGAAAATGGTCTGGCAGTAACCCCGGAATACAAGAGCTACCACCCTTTCCCTGTTTTGTTCCTCTCAGCTCCTGCTCTGGCTGCTGGGAAGGATAATGCTGCATTTTCTGATCCTGCACAACCACCACACTTGTCTCTGCTGCTTTAGCAGCACGTGTATAGTCATCCATCCGGAGAACTTGTGCCTTCTTGTTCCCGCATCATAGCCTGTCTCAACCAAGCAAGATCCCAACAGCAGACCAGAGGAGCAAAGGTGGCAGACAAGTTCTTCTCAACTGTTTTGCTTAAACACCTAAAATCAGAGTAACTACCTCACAAGACCTGTGGCTCAGCCCAGAGAAAGTGGGTCACTTGCCAAACCAGAGTGCCTGGGTCCAGATGGTAGATTCCCTTTCTTAAATGGAGCTCCAAACTAACTGTTGAAGAAGAGGCCCATCCAAATAGATGGAAACCTTGGGAGCTGCTGTCCAAGGAAGATTTCAAAATTCATCAGTTAATTAGGCTTAGTTCTCTGCATGCCTCAACAGGGCAGCATAGAGCAGAGAATGCATAGCTGGGGTGGGGCGGGAAGGGGAACTTCTCTCTGATGTTATACCACACACAGCACCTGCCTATTCTCTTGTCATTGCATTTCTTCCCCTCCAACTGAGCAAAGCTTCACTCAGTATTCGTCAGCAACGGCAACGTGTCTGTACAATTTAAGTTCCCTCTGCTTGTATAGATTCACCAACCACATTAAGTTCTTAGTCTAGAGCATGACCAAGACACTTAAAAGTCAGGCCCAAGCATTCAGCTCTGAGACATTCCTCCTTTGTGGAGGTTCACAGAGCTGTCCTACACACAGCTCTGCACAGATGCTTTCAACAGAAGTGACAGCTAAGCCCACAAGCAGAGTTCAAGTGAGCATTAGGATCGGTGTGGAAATGACCCACGAGTGGCTAAATCATTCTGCAGAAGCCGAGCTTACTACTACCATTGATTTCCACTTGACTGTGCCTCTGCAGCACTACTCCGGATCAGAAAGGGACAAAGCAGCACGGAGAGGACATGCTGTAACAGCAGACATTTGAGACTGTTGGCAGGAACACGTGGAACTGCTGGGGAAGCTGGAGGAGACTCTGCAATTCCTGCCTGTCCTCCCACCTGCTCAGTCACAGCAGAAGCAAGGAAGCGCAAGGCCCTCTAGCTGTATCATAATGCACGTGCTGACATGCATCATGGTTAGAGAATAGTCTTAGATCTTTTGAGTCACCACGAACATTATTTTTTGCAGTGTAGCAGCCTGTCTTTTGAAATTCAGTAAATAAACAACCTGGACAATTTTATTCTGTGACCCCAGGAGAAACTGGGGAGTCAGCACATTCCTTCTGAAGAGTCAAAAGACTCCTAAAAGCTTTTCTGACAGCTTTTGGACAGCAGAGGACTTTTACTTCACATCCAGTCTACTGGATAACAGAAATCTTTTAACGACTCAGGTGTCACTAAAGGGCTGGAAGGACACCTATCTCCCAAAGGTCCTTGTTTCCTATGGAAGTCAATACTTCATTGTATGGTAGGATCACGGTACTATTCAGGAGACCTTACTAGCTTGGTCTTTCTTTCTGGTTCTTAGCATGTATCAGAACAGAGAACAAAAGCAGAAGAAACATGCATGCAGGGAGAAGCTACTGTCAGTTGTCAAGCTGAATCACAGCCAGGACCTCCAGATTCCTTGGTCAGATGCCCTGAAAATATCAGGCTTCATCTCATCACAACAAGGTGCAGAAGAATTTGGCAGCTCCTGCCTTCCTGCATGATGTCCCTAAGATCATTACCAGGTCAGTGCTTCAGAACTTACTCATCCCGTGGAAAACTGCAAGTTTGCAAACTACACCCACAGCTAATGCAATTTGCTGTAGTCAATGGATCACGCTTGTCTAGTGCTTGTGATAGCAGCCTGTAATTAGGCAGCCAGTGCACACTCCGTGCGTGCCACAGGTCTCTCCAACTTCACTCTAGCCGTGGGAACTATGTTTTGCAACAGCTCCGACTCAGTTTTGTTGGTAAAGTACACCTTACCACACCGCTGTGTCAGTCTGCCGGCACAAGCAAGCTTTTAAATGAGCCATCTTTGCAGGCCTCAACAGTCTCAGGGAAGCACACTGGGATTGTGTACACTAGTGAGCAGACTCAAATCATTTCAGCACAGT